TCACCTGATGCAGCTGTTTACAGGATCCATCTCAAAGATCCCCAAGAAGCCAGTGACTACACAAACAAGATCAGCAAAGAAGCACTTGAAGAGTTCAATCAAGTAGTTCAGACTCTGCCCAAAGGAATTTCATTTGCCAAAGCATGTAGAGACCACATGATAGGCCACTTCTTCTGTGACAGCAAAGAATCTATCCAAGAGATGAAAGACTTGTTCACACACGCCCAAGAAGGTAGACCAGTTCAAACTCTGCACAAAGTTCAAGACAAAGATCAATTTCTTATCTCTTGTGACATTAAAGGTGAAAGATTCCTCAATATTCTTTGTGATTCTGGAGCTTGCATTAACATGATGTCCAAAGCAACTGCTTTGAGACTTGGCATTAAGCACATCTAAGTACCAGGACAAAGATTAGCTTAGCAGATGATTCAAGTGCAATACCAAGAGGGATAGCCCAAGACATTCCTCTAAGGATTGGAGATTGCATTGCGCCTGTCGATCTATACATAGTGAAAATCAAAGATGACTTTTATCCAGTTATCCTTGGATGGCCTATCTTAGCAACTGCTGGAGCCATCATGGATTGGCCCAACAGGAGAGCTTCTTTTGCCAATATCAACAATGACATCTTCTATGAAGTTACACCACTTAAGAGCAAAAGAGGAGAGCATAAAGCCCATGCATTTGAACCCGAAGAATTCTGGAGTGATGAAGAACCTGCAAGACAGAACAGGAGGATTTCGAAAAGGACTTGTCTTAGGACAAGATCCTATTTGAACTAAGTCTTTTTCTTTGCAAAGTCTAGCTAAGGACTATAAACCAAAGCGCTTGATGGGAGGCAATCCATTTAGGTATCTAATTACTTTTGTTTAGCTTTCTTTTTCTATTAAAGTTTTGTTTTTTTTTATTTTAGACAGACCTTAGTATGCCAAAAAAAAAAGAAAAAAAAAAGAAAAGGAGCTGACCGCGGCCAAAAGAGGTTCAGCTGCGGCCAGCAAGCATTTTTCCGCGGCCACGAGGCCTTGAACCGCGACCAGCACGCGTCTTACCCCGCCCGGGACATCTTGATCCGCGGCCAGCACCATTCGGCCTTCCTTGGCCACTTCAACCTCTACCTTGATTCAATTCCATCCAAGTTGGATCAAGCATCACTCCACACCATCCACCATCCACTTCAACATCCTACCACCACCACAATCACCTCACAATCCATCACCAACACCAGATAAGTTTTATTTTCCTTAATCTTTTTAAATTTTTCACATACTCTATTTCTCATCCTTGCTTGATTTATTTCACATTGGGAACAGTGTGACTTAAGTATGGGGGAGGATTTCATCCCTTTCTAACCACCTTTTCTTGTATGAGCTTTTGCATTCTGCATTTTTTTTAAAAAAAAATTAATTTTTTAAATCGATTTTCTTAAAACTTTTCAAAAATCTTTTGAGTTTCAAAAAGTGTTTTCAAAGGTGAAATACATTTTAAGGGAATAATGACAAAATCGATGATGATAACTAACTTGTTTGCTTCTACACCAATCATTCATAAAAAGCTCTTTTAAGGTTTAGTACTACACTAAGCAGTAGCTAGAGTACCTACACTACAAAATCCCACTAGAGGACTTCTATTCATGGAGATCTTTTCTGACAGGATATACTAGCTCATCTCACTTGGACTTAATCTTGACATCTAATTTTCTCATCAATGATTTTAAAAAGGCATCATGATATATATTTAGGACATCTTTACCTTATTGTTACCATTCTTTATTGTCCTAGATGGCCAGTTCATCTTTAGCTGGTACCACACCCTTAACCCAAACCTTCATGTTCAAACCTCATGCATCTCTCTTAAGTTTATATCGACAGATATGTGCAAAAACGCCGGAGAGGGAGGAACAACATAGTTTTCAGTCACTCAAGAGAAAGACTGAAAGAGACCAGAAGGGAGTGTGCCAAAAATCTTATGATGCCTCAGAAAAGCTCATTCTTAAAGGTAAATTTCGTGCTCATTAAGACTCCAAGTCAAAAGGCAGTTTTCCCTTTAAAAAAAAAACAAAAAAAAACAAAAAAAAAAAGAAAGAAAGGAAACTAAGAGCCTAAAGAGTCTTAGAAGCCGAAATCATTTGAGCCAAGGCAATAGGTATTCACGTAAGGAGTTATGGATTCACAACCTGGACAAAAATCCAAATCTAGGGGAACTATAAGGAGAACCTGAAAAAAAAGAGATCAGAAATCTTAAAGCAAGGAGAATGTGACAGGAAACTGTGGGGGCATTTACACCTAAATTTGACCACTTTTCACCATTGATTTTAAATGCTTTTTCAAAGGTTTTATTTTGTTTTAGGAACTTTTATTATGATTTTCATGTATTTGTAGTTTCAAGGATCTTTTCAGGAAATTTAGGCGATATGATGGCAAAATGGAAAAAAATCCATTTTTTCAGCTCAGAGTCAGATCGTCAAAAGTTTGGTAACAAATGAGAGGCCTTCCCACCGTCTGATCCAGCTAAAATTTGGAGACAATCAAGAGGAAACAACCAGCTTTCCATAACACTTTACTTCACAAAGATCCACGGTGCAATCAAAAGATACATGGAAAACAAGTTGACCGAGTTCACCAGTCCCGGAAGACACTCACCCACGGGAAATACATGTTTTACCTGCCCTGGAAGACTCTCACCCCCGGTGGACCTTAGGCCGAGCCACAAGGCCCAACATCAAAGCCCACTTCGCCATTCATCTTCAGAAAAGCCCTAAAAGAGACCTGGAAGACCTTAGGACCTATAAATACATTGTTTAGCAGTCCTAAACGGGTGTGTGCTCCTGTAATGAGATTTTGAGCCACCAAACTTTGTTTTTCTATGGTTAGGTGATGGAGATGGGGATTCTTCCCAAATCCATTGTTCTTTCTCCTTTTTATATTATTAACTTATCTGTTTCATTTTTTGCATTCTTCTATGTCTTTTATCATTCATTGCATCATGTAGATTAGTCCCAGAGAGTCAAGTTGTTTTAAGAGTCATCGACAAGCATATATATCGATTAGGATTTCTATAGTTCTAAACCATATTCTGGATCTCATCTCTTCTAAGTTGTTCATATTGCATGAGAGTAGATTCATGACCTATTCTCTGAGCCTAGGATCGATCAGAACCACGAGAGTGTTGTATCAGATCATCCATACCTAGCTTCAGAAGAACATAGTCGCTATAGGAGTCGAAAGCTACCTATAGAGTAGATGTGAGCAGACGAATTCAATGTCTAATGCATGATCTTATTTCTGTCATGAGAGCAAGAGTTATTTTTCAGATCTAAGTGATTAGTTGATTAAGATGACCAGAGTTGGTTAATCATACATATGTCTATTCTAGTTCCATGCAGATTCCCAGAAACAGATGAAGATAAATCGCCTGGAAGCTAATTGGAAATGGGAGAATTCTAAGTCGCCACCTATGAGTTTAAAAGTCTTTAGTTTGAGTCGATATGCTTGAGATATTCTTTAACAATTTATCCTGCATTGCATTTTATTTCTTGTGAATATTAGATTAGGTTTAGTTTAGGATTCTTAACCAAAAACCCCAAAACTTTTATTGGTTTATGACTTTGCTTACTTTCCCAGTTTGTTGTTTCTCGTAGATTAGACATCCTCCCTGTGGATCGACACCCTAAGTCTTACAACGTACATCTGTGCACTTGCAGACACTAGGGTTTTATAAATTTAAAACTTTTGGAGGACCAACGAGCTTGTTAAAAACAAACCCTAGGCCCGCAAGCCCATCACATTCCAGCTAGACCCCCGAGGGGACTTCATGAGGATCGCGACCCACTCCTTTATGTCAATACTCTTATTGACTTTGAGACTAAACGGTTGAAACTAGATCGTCTAATTATTCCCTCCCGAGGAGATTACCCTTATTTTAAGGTTGTAGTTGGATTCACCCAAAATCCAAAAACTACACCGTCAAATCAAGACAAGATAAGGTTACGCCCAAGTCAAGCTTTCTCGAGACATATGTATAGTTGCATTTACACAAAATCCAAAAACTACACCGTCAAATCAGGATATTGGAATGCCAAAACCTTATTTTGTCTGACCTGCGACCTCCCTGTTTAGGGACCCAGTACTACGGTATTAAAGGCGCAGATAGGAAAACTAAAAACCATACGAAAAAATCAAACACTTTGTGTGGCAATGCGTAAATGGCAGTGTGGTGACTTGCCAACGTTTATTCTCCCGACATATAGGACGTGATAAAGGATGTCTGAGATGTGGTTCAGAGGAGACAATAAACCATAAGATATTTGAATGCCCACCATCTAAGCAAGTATGGGCTTTTTCGACGATTCCCTCAGCTCCAAATATTTTTCCCTAATCCTCCATCTATGGTAACCTCGATTATCTCTTCTGGAGAGCGTGTGAATCATGACTAAACGAAGATCATCTTCGTATTTTCCCATGGATTATCTGGTTCCTGTGGAAAGCAAGGAATAAAAAGGTATTCGAGAACATGGACGAACTTCCACCTGATATATTAAATCACACAAAAGCAGAGAAAGAAGTCTGGAGAAGAGTGCATGCGGAGGATAGCACTACAAGAATATCACGTATTAATTGCGGACGAAAAACGCTATCTAACGATACGATAGTGTTTAGTTAAACGCTCTATCATCGTCCGCGATAAAAAGTCTGACACTTTAGATAGCGTTTTTTATAAATGATATGGTATATATTTTTATCATAGCGTTTTAATGTCTGCAATATGTTAATCTACAATAGCGTTTATTCAGTATTATGAATTAGCTATATAATAGCATTATGTAAATGTCATCTATATATTAAACATAGCAATCCTTAAATGTTATATATTTCAGTTGGTCATTAACATATTTTTGTTTTTTCGACCCCAATTTTTTGAAAATATTAATTTAATTTAAATACATTTAATTTAAATAAAAAATATAAAATAAAAATACATTTAAATTTACATTAAATAACTTGAGGTTTACAAAGTGAAATTACACGAATCCTTCACTAAGTACTACTAAACAGATCATGATCATTCATGGCATTAAGAGCAGACTAAACATCTTCTGCTGACTCGAATAAGATGAAACCAAATCCCCGAGACCTCCCTTCAATACTTCTCTTGCCCTCTTGGCACCTCCGGGAATTTTAACTTTCACTCTTTTACCACCAATTTGCTACAAATCGAACAAATACAAAAGATCAGAAACATTAGAGAGCTGAATTATCTTTGAACACTAACTGATGGAACTTACAGAGCTGTTAAACATCTGAATCACCTCCTTGGATTTTTCAAACATCAACCCTAACTCAAAGCCAGACAGTGAAATTGCAGTAAAGCCACAGAATATATAACCCAGATCTTAGATTAAAAAACTGATTCATGTACCTGAGACATATCCCTTCTCTCTTTCTCCTTCCTGACCTTGAATCGGGACTGAGACTCAATTCACCATGATTAAGAGTCTATTTTCCACATAGAAACGATGGATTTTAAGAAATCTCATGAGATCTGAGACATTATGATCCCGTCGGGCTTGGATCTAAATCGCCGCCATAAACGGAGCATAGTTCTGAGGCGTGGGTGTTTTCAGTGAAGCTTTGCTTCGCTGTTTTCGTCGTTAAAGGAGGCACGAGAGGGGAAATATGAGACGAGGAAGAGAAGTGAACGACAGAATTAGATTTGAATCTACCTACAGCTTCGCCGTGGTCGTCGTTAATCTAAGAAAGAAAAAGAGATTTAGGAAGTAGATCTTGAAACTCAGAAAGAAAGGAAGTCAGAATTATGCCATGTCATTGATCCCTTCTCTCTTGCTAATAATTGAAAGCAGAGGAAGGAAGAATCGGAGAGAAAAATAAAAAGCAAAGGAAGGAAGTATCCTAGGGTGTGAGAGTGTGCCACGTAATCGATCCGTAACATCTCTCCAGATTGGTTCTCATCTTCTGAAGACTTTTTTTTTCTCTCTTATCCTAAATAAAATCGTTTTATTTACTTTAGTAATAGAAAATGGTTTATAAACATGAGTTTGTGATAATTTTATTTATTGAGATAATGATAAGTTCTTGGGTTTGTATGTCTATATTCATTTTTCAATCACTTAATTTTTATTGCGATTATTATCATTTGTTATTGTGTGAATCCTAAACCCTATATATACTCCAATACCCTAAACCCTAAACTTTAAGTGTGAATTAATTGTTTGTTTAACAAATTTTTTATTTGAGAAATAGAAACATATATCTATACAATTATGAATACCTATATATACTCTAAAATCAAAAACTCATTAATCTATGAAAATAATTATATTTCAAACCTTATATCTTTATACCCTAAACCACAAACTATATGTCGTAAACTCTAAATTAAAGATGCACTAACTTTTCATTCTTATTTTAATTTTAAATTATTTCATGAAACAAATTTTTGTTGTATTTATTTTTTTATTGAGAAATAGAAAAAAAAATATCTCACAATGGTGAATATCTAAACCTTAAATTAAACACTCATTAATTCATAAAAATTTATTATATATATTGTTAATAGCACTTAAACAAATTATATTTCAAACCTTATACTTTATACATACCCTAATCTTATGCCCTAAACTCTAAATAAAAATGAATATCTTTTGTTTTAAAAAATAATTAATTCTTGGTTGTGTATTGTGTATTGTTCTTTTTATATATATATATGAAATACATAAGTTTCATTATAAACGAGAAGTGACAATGAGCTGGTTCATTATAAAAACTTGGACTTAACCAAGGTGGTGGAGGGATGGATACAACTTGAATAAAATTGTAGATTCGGAGGCCCTTCCTTGGCTACACAATGAGCTGGTTCATTGTAACATCTTCTTGTGCTTTGAAAACTGTGGTATTGATACTCTGATTATACAGTGGGTTTCTTTGGAAGTTTTGCGGACCGCTTCGTCCTCCTTGACGGAACCTATCAGGTCTTGATCTGTTATGTGAAATTGGAGGTGGCCTGTGTGTGATCACAGAACAGAGATCGCGATTGAGACTGAGAGAGAGAGATCGAGACTGAGAGTGAGAGAGATCGAGAGTGAGAGTGATTGGGATCAAGACAGAGAGAAAAGAGATCGAGAGTGAAATAAGAGAGAAGGGATAACAAAAGGGACTTTTGTGAATATCCTAAGTTTTCGTCGACCAAATTTTGTTGTGTTTAGATCCAATTTTTTTACATAACGTTTAATTTCTGTAAATGCTATTAAAACACAGGCGCCAAAGTAAAATTTCACAGATCAACATTTTTTTTGCACAGAACATCAATTATAGCATTTCAAAATTAAGAAACGCTATCTTAAATACCCAGTTTAGTTAAAAATATCATAACCAACCAAAACGCTATCTGCAAGTGCTATCAATACTCTAAAATCTTGTAGTGTAGTGGAGCCATTAGTCATGATCAGGATGCTGTGTCAACAATTACTCCCTCTTCAGAGGAGATTGGATGTTATCTCGATGGTTTGTGGCTGGAAACGACATCTGTCAGTGGACACAGTTGGCTCGTTACTTCTGGTCGAAATATCATCCTCGTGGGGCTAAAGGGTGCCGACCGAAGCTTATCCCGTTGCATGCAGTGCTGGACTCCCTGATTTGGGCTACGAAATGCATCATTTCCTCACATGTGGCTTGCAAAACCTTCTACACATATTGCTCTGATTTGATCTCCATAACTGTGAATCCTTCAAACTAGTCTATGTTCGCAGCAAAATTAGAAGGTTTTAAGTCTTTATCATTGTCTTTTAGGTCGTTTAGTCTATCACATGTCTCTAGATCTTGTAATGTCTGTGCAGATAAGCTTGCCAAAACTGCTAAAGTACGAGGTGTAAGGTTTTCTCATGTAAGCGTCACGGCCCCTGCCTAACTATCTCTAGAAGAGAGTCACTTGCCGTGCAATCGTAATGGAATGATGTTTTGTTGTCAACAACAAAAAAAGTTGTTCTGCTCTGGTAAGAATTTTTTTTCCTATGCCACTGTATTTTTGCAGAGTAATCAACTGGTCTTAAGAAATATCAACCCGTACTGTTTGTTCTTCTACTTTGACACTTGGCAGTCATATTTACCCATACGAGTCGTGCAACTATGCAAGATAATAATATATAAAAAAAAACTATGCATGATATGACCAAATTACTGATACTCGACCCACACTCTATCTTTAAAAAAATAATGTTTGCTCTTCAGTCTTGGCACCAATCTTTGGTCATTGACTTCTCATTCTTCTCTCTTGTCGACTTTTCTATTTTTCTAACGGCCCTTTTTTCTACCCGAAGAGACTTTGGTTTCACACATTATTCTCCACAAATAATTATTATGAAAAATACCACTAACAATTTCTACGTTACGTTCAATAACTAATCAAATACTTGAACTAAGACTAATAAATTTTTTTTTCTCAACTAAAAAGACTAAGAAAATAAAATATCAACATTCAATACAATAAGAAAGCTCCATTCCGTGTGATAGCTTTGACTGGGCCAGTTAGTTGTAATAAACCATTATTTGTGCAAGACTTTCAAAGTCAATCGTTTTTGTCGTAGATCTCAACCCTAAAAACTGGAATTTTTAGTCTTTTTCAGCATAAATTATAGCAGTAATACAAACCTTTTCTGGTTTATTTGGATGAAGGGAACATGACTATATGCGATGCTTGGTTTCTAGTGGTTAGGTGCGTCCGTGTTTTACAAATCTATACATTTTACGTTCCAGATTCATAGTACAAGATGTATATATATAGTAATAAACTACGCGATTTATGAACTTTTTTGATAAAGATAAAGTTTTACTACAAAAAATGCATCAAAAGGGAGAGACATTCCATTGTGAAAGTAAGTGTAGTTTTTTTTAGAACTATGTATTTTGAGTTGCCAATAAAGATTACTTTCAACGAGGTTACTGGGAAAAAAACTAATAAATTCTATCATTCAGATGAACATAAGTAAAGTATTATTTTCTAAGGAGTTTGACCATCCTTGTCGACCTAGATAATCCACCTATACTATCTTCCCTTTTAGTGTTTCAAATTCAAAGACTGACAATAAAGAACATGTTTATATATATATATACAAAACAATGACTAAAATAAATTAAGAGTAATTGAATATGAAAACAATAAGTTAGCAAGTGCTTTTCATATATTTTCCTTAAATATATGTGAACTGTGAATTTTTTTTTCTTTCAAGATTTGACAAAGTAAACGGCCAATATTTAAAGTGAATTCTTCGAGACATTTATAATATATCTAAAGAAATTCAAACTATTGACGTTTTGTCCTCTAATATCAAGTGACAACTAATAGTCAACTCTCAAGCCCGTCAACGAATGAATTTTGCAGATTATAAAAGACAGACATTTTGAGATAATGCGTGAATTGTATATGAACACAAACCCAGAAAAAAAAAAGAAAAAAAAAAATCTCACTAATCTCATTTTAAGATCAATAGAGAGAATGGCTTGTAAAGACAAGCTTCAATTCCTTTTGATCATATTCACAATCTTGAGCTGTTCTCTTACAGCTTCTGCAACAGTCTCAGAAGCAAATGCTCTTCTCAAATGGAAGTCAACTTTCACAAACCAGACAAGTACCTCAAAACTGTCTTCTTGGGTGAACCCAAACACAAGCAGCTTCTGTACAAGTTGGTATGGTGTTTCTTGCTTACGCGGGAGCATCATCCGGTTAAATCTCACGAATACCGGTATTGAAGGTACTTTCCAAGATTTTCCATTCTCTTCTCTTCCCAATCTCACTTATGTTGATCTTAGCATGAACCGTTTCTCTGGAACCATTCCTCCCCAATTCGGACAATTCTCTAAACTCATCTACTTCGATTTGTCCATTAACCAGTTAGTTGGTGAAATCCCACCTGAGCTTGGCAATTTAAGTAACCTAGAAACTCTCCATCTTGTCGAAAACAAGTTAAACGGATCGATTCCTTCTGAAATCGGTCGGTTAACTAAGGTTCAAGAAATAGCCCTGTACGACAATTTGTTGACCGGACCAATACCTTCTTCTTTTGGAAACCTAACCAAACTAGTTAACCTTTATCTCTTTATCAATACTCTCTCTAGTACGATCCCTCCTGAAATCGGAAACCTTAGCAACCTTGTTGAGCTATGCCTTGATAGAAACCACCTAACCGGTCAAATCCCTTCTAGTTTTGGAAAGTTGAAGAATGTAACACTTCTCAACATGTTTGAAAATAGGCTCACTGGTGAAATCCCTCCTGAGATTGGTGATATGACCGCTCTAGATACCCTTAGCCTCCACACAAATAACCTTACCGGTTCGATTCCTCCTACTTTAGGAAACCTCAAAAGCCTAGCCATTCTTCATCTTTACCTGAATAAGCTTAGTGGTTCCATACCTGAGGAGCTAGGAGACATGGAAACAATGATTGATTTGGAGATAAGTGAGAACAAACTCACTGGTCCTGTTCCTGATTCATTTGGCAAGTTGACACAGCTCGAATGGCTATTCCTCCGTGATAACCAGCTTTCAGGTCCGATCCCACCGGGAATTGCTAACTCTTCAGAGCTGACCGTTCTGCAACTCGACACCAACAACTTCACAGGCGTCTTGCCTGATACCATCTGTAGAGGTGGCAAGCTCGAGAATCTCACGTTAGACGATAACCTCCTCGAAGGTCCCCTTCCTAAAAGCTTGAGAGAATGCAAGAGTTTGATCAGAGCAAGGTTCAAAGGGAACAGTTTCACCGGAGATATCTCTGAGGCTTTCGGAGTCTACCCGAATCTCAATTTCATTGATCTCAGCAACAACAAGTTCCACGGACAGATTTCACCGACGTGGGAACAAAGTCGAAAGCTGGTTGCGTTCATCGCAACAGACAATAACATCACCGGACCGATCCCACCTGAGATTTGGAACATGACACAGCTAAGTCAGCTCGATCTATCTTCCAACAACATCACCGGCGAGCTCCCGGAATCAATCAGCAATCTCAACCGTTTGTCAAAACTACAACTTAACGGGAATCAGTTATCCGGTAAAATACCTTCAGGAATCAGACTCTTAGCAAATCTTGAGTATCTTGATCTATCCTCAAACAGATTCAGCTTTGAGATCCCGGCAACACTTGACTCCTTGCCAAGGCTTTACTACATGAACTTGAGCAGAAACGAGTTGGATCACAACATCCCCATGGGTTTAACAAAGCTGTCTCAGCTACAAACTCTTGATCTCAGCCACAACCAACTCGACGGAGAAATCCCATCACAGTTCAGCTCCTTACAGAACCTAGAGAGACTCGACCTCTCACACAACAATCTCTCAGGTCCAATTCCACCAAGTTTCAGAGAAATGCTGGCACTAACACACGTCGACATATCACACAACAACCTCTCAGGTCCAATTCCAGATAACAAAGCATTTAAAGACGCAGGTCCAGATGCATTGGAAGGCAACAGAGACTTATGTGGTGACGACACAAGACAACGCTTGAAGCCATGTCCGATCAGTTCTTCCTCAGGGAAGAAGAAATCAAACAAAGACAGAAACCTAATCATCTACATACTCGTCCCAATCATCGGAGCAATCATAATCCTCTCAGTCTGTGCCGGGGTTTTCGTTTGTTTCCGTAAGAGAAAGCCTCAAATCGAAGAGAACTCAGACACCGAATCAGGAGAAACGTTATCGATCTTTAGCTTCGATGGTAAAGTAAAATACCAAGAAATAATCAAAGCCACAGGAGAATTCGACTCGAAACACCTAATCGGAACCGGAGGATGCGGCAAAGTCTACAAAGCGAAGCTACCAGCGATAACAATGGCAGTGAAAAAGCTCAGCGAGACAACAGACGAGGAGATCTCGAAACCGGCGGTGAAACAAGAGTTCCTAAACGAGATCAGAGCACTTACGGAGATCCGTCACCGGAACGTCGTGAAGCTGTTCGGATTCTGCTCGCATCGACGCAACACTTTCCTGGTGTACGAGTACATGGAGAAAGGGAGTTTGAGGAAAGTTTTGTCGAACGACGAAGAAGCGAAGATGCTGGATTGGAGGAAGAGGATCAATGTGGTGAAAGGTGTGGCCCATGCTTTGTCGTATATGCATCATGATCGGTCTCCGCCGATTGTTCACCGTGATATTAAAAGTGGGAACATTCTTCTCGACGAAGATTTCGAAGCGAAGATCTCCGATTTCGGTACGGCGAAGCTTCTCAAGGCGGATTCTTCGAATTGGTCCGCCGTTGCTGGAACTTACGGCTATGTTGCTCCAGGTACTTCTTTTTAACCCGTTAAATAAATGGATCTGGAATCTAACGTGTCGGGTCGGGTTCGGTTTGGTTGAAATTACTAGACTGGTTTTAGGAGTAGGACGGTTTTTTTAACAGAATTCAGAAACCAAATAAAAACCGAAAATTGTGTAGTTTGGTTCTTTTCTGATTGACTATAAGTGGCGGGCGCATTCAGGTCGGTTTTTACAAATTTGTATGCAAATGAAAACCAAAATATTTTTGTTTTCGTTTGATAAAATTTATAGTTCACGTTCAATTTAGAAAAAAATGACAATAAAACAAAATAGAATTGATGTTCTTTAATATAACGTCACTACATTAATTTACTTTTAATAAATAGATTTTGGGACCTAATTATTAAAACTTTGGTTACTTTGGTTACAAATCGATTATGCTATAGTTTTGCTTTTAAATTTTAGTCATTTTACATAAGAAAACCGATCAGAAAGTTAAAGTCTTGGTATTGGTTCAAGCATTTTAGTTTAGATTCATTTTGATTTGGTTCGAGTTGGTTTAATGTATATATCTGATTTTAGACGTTTTTTTGTATATATAGTTTCTAATATGTTTTTGAAATTGAATGTGACAGAACTAGCTTACGCAATGAAAGTGACCGAGAAATGCGATGTGTATAGCTTCGGAGTACTAACTCTTGAAGTGATCAAAGGGGAGCATCCGGGCGATTTAGTTTCAACTTTGTCATCGTCTCCTCTGGACAAAACTCTATCGTTGAAAGAAATTTCTGACCGTCGGTTACCAGAGCCAACGCCAGAGCTCAAAGATGAGATCTTAGAAATTGTGAAAGTTGCACTTTTATGCTTACATTCCGATCCAAATTTTCGCCCAACAATGCTCTCTATCTCCACTGCCTTTGCTTAAAAATTGGCCAAGCAGAAAGTGATACCAAGCATTTTATAGTTTTATGCATTATTAAGGTTTCATGATTATGTGTTAGTTTTCCATTATGGAATGTTAGTTATATTTGACACTATTCTGTTCTATTATACAATAGTCCGCATTTTATTGTAAATAGTTTTTTTATTCTTTTTCTCACTTAAGGAAAACAAAATGCATATTGCTATCCTTCTTCTTTTTTTAAACAATATCGATATCCTTCTTTGTGTTTCGAAATTATGACTAATACTATTGTTCAATATAGATAAACCGATCTGATCTAATTCGAAAACCAAACAAAAATAATAAAAAAAAAAAATAATGAACCATATCTTAAAATTTTAATGAATTCATTTTCTTATATACGAAAAACCCTATTCCAAATATAAACCGAACAGAAAAAAGCAACAATCTAAAATTATTTTTATTAAATAATTGACTAAATCTGCTAAAGCATCTAAGAACATCTCCATTTGTGAGATACTCCAAAAGGTAAAATACTACTATTTTGAGAAGAATTTTTTTTAGAACCTCATCACAAATTTTTACCTCCATTCAGTAGCAGAGCTAGAAAAAAAATTTATAGGGGTCAATTTTAATTTATAATGTATTTTAAACAAATTTTACAGGGGTCATTTAGCTAAATTATTAATATTATATCTAGCTTTTACATAAAAAATACAAATATTTATAAAAAAATTGAATTTCACCTCGGTCAATTGCACCCCCTCCCAACATACTCTCTCCGCCACTGTCTCCATTGGTGAGATACCCACTAAAGTATCTCATCTATATAATATTATTTATTTTATAAAGATTTATATTTTAGTATAGTTAATATTGAAAACTTAGGTTAAATATTATCCTATATTAAAAAGTATTTTATTTTTTTTTGTTATTAAATTACACCTTAAATATATTTATATTAATAATATTAATAATGTTAACAAAAAATATTAATAATACAATTCATTATAAATAATATAAGAAAAATACATATTCTTAAATAACACAATTAAGCATAAAATTACATTAACTTAATCTTATTAAAAAACACTTACAATGCTAAAAAACATAGATAACATATAAAACAAAGATTTTCTTAAATAATACAATTAAGCATAAAATTACATTAACTTAATCTTATAAAAAAACACTTACAATGCGAAAAACATAGATAACATATAAAACAAAGATTACTTATAAAGGTTTATAAGATTAATTATAAAAATTTATAATTTTTTTTAAACGGTAACCATTTTTATTAATTAAAAAACGAAATCAGTCCATGACCGAAAGCCATACATTTTTAAAGAGATATTACACAAGCGCATAAAGTTTAGCTCAAGTACAATAAGTTAGAAAGAACCGACTTTCCGCTTCGGTTCATTAAAAGGGCATCTTCGGTTGCACGATTAGCCACGACCTCCTCTGTTACCTCGATCGCGGTTGCGACGACCAGCTGCGACAGGGTGCCACTGCATTCCTTCGCTTTTGCTGGTGGTTTTACCGGCCTGTCTCGAAGGTTTCTTTTCCCCGAAGGAGTCAAGATTTCTGGATCAGGATCATCGTTTGTAACAGAGTTATCTTCTTCCTCCAAGGAGTCCTCATCCGAAGATTCTAAGGAGGCAAATCGGTTTTTCCCCAATGCTCCACTGGATAGAGTCTTGCGTAAACCGACTGATGGGATTGATGGAGATACTACTTGTTCAGAATTTGTGACTTCTGTTGTAGAGGCCAAGATAGTAGAGTTTTTGTTGATAATTGGACCTGTACCAACAGGTGGAGAAGAGAACCTAGATGCAGAAGTTGGAGTACCTTTTACAGCGGGTATAGCAGCAATCTTAGAGACAGGAATGACAGATTCATGGCCTAAGAGGATATTTGATTGACTTCTTGTTTCCAAAGTTGATACAGTTTCTTTAGGAGCTATTGCATCCCTTGCAATAGGTAAGGAGCAAGTGTCATTTGAAATCGGATTAGAGACAACAGCCATATCAACCTTCTCTTTACCAATTCCTAAACATCTAGACTCTTTGTGACCCAATTGACCACATCTAGTGCATTAAGAAGGCAACCATGAATAGACCACATCAACCATAGTGATTGTTTCACAAGATTCTTCTAAGGCAACTCTTTGAGGAAAAGGTTTATCGAGCTTTACCTCCACCAATATCTTAGCCTCACCCATCTGAGTAGGATCAAGCCATGGTCTACTGGTTAACATTGGCTCACCTATTCCGGATGCAATCCACTTTATGCCTTTGATCGAGTATAGTTGGCTAGGAATATTTTTAAGATTCAATCAAGCTGGGACCATTGTGATCTTCGGGAGAGTGATGTTTCCTGCGTGAGACCAAGCCGAAACAAACATCAAACAGTCATCCACATGCCACAGTCCTCTTTGGAGAATACACTTTCGGGTTGCCTCATCCGGAATGTGGAATAAATATGAAGATTCACCTTCTTTGCGAGAGAATATGCGACACTTTCTGCCCCATATTCTATTTACCACGGCGTGAACCAATCCTCCCGATGGAGCTGCACATCGATAAAATTGACCAACTACAAACTCCTTCTGATTTTCTAATCCCTCTAAAAGGACATGGCTGGGGATTTTTACCAATGGTGTGCCATCCTCCATGAACTCTGGCATGGTTACTCTGTTGAGATTACGGAGCGACTGATCCATTTTAGCAGCCCACGGGTATTTTCTTGAGCAAGCTTTCAATACCTCGTCAGACTCCAAATTCTTTGAAACTCTTGACGGAGCCATCAAATTCTTCTGATGACGAGGTTGATTCCCAACAGATAGAGCAGGCCAATTCAAAGTGGAAGCTCCATACATGGAATTTCTTTCGCTGCAGATGGAGGAGCATCTGAGAAGGAGAGTGGCTTTTTCCAAGCTCCTTGTGGTCCAGAGGTGACGAGAGGATCTCCTGATGTCGCAACAGCTCGGGAGCCTGGATTTCTATGCTCGATTTAATTGGAGGAGAGACTTCCTGAAACACCTTATCTGATATAGTTGCAGGATTTTCAGCAGGAGGAGAAGAGGGTACAGACATGCTTTTGCTCCACCGGTTTAGGTATGGCCATCAAGGATCTGGAGATTCAATGCTGGCCTTCTCTTTCATTCATTTTGGATGAGGCGAATCCATGGTTGAAAAGAGACGTCGATTGCAGAGAACGACACTAGTCTTAGTCTGAGATTGGCTCGTTGAGACTTGAGAGGCGGAATCCGCCGAGGATACGCCGGAGAGATTTGAATTTATAAAATTATTATAAGATTATTTATAAGGGTTTATAAGATTATTTATAAGGATTTATAAGATTACTTATAAAAGTTTTTTTTAAAAAATTATAAATATTTATAAGACTATAATTATTTTATCATTTCTTTATCAAAATGTCTATATTGGATTGATTTGTCATTGCCTTGTAATGTTAAGTTTATTTTATATAATTTTCTTATTTTGTATAATTTTTGATTTAGTTATAAGATTAAATTATTTAATTTTATGTTTAATTGTGTTATTTAATAATGTATATTTTTAATTATATTATTTATTATTTATTAATTATTAATAGTATTTAATTATATTAATTAAAACATTACTAATCTATACTATTAAAAAAGAAAGATATTTTGTATCCAAACAAAATTTTTACTTGATTTTCTACTATCTGTTTTTGGATAACTGTTCCCAAATAAAAATATTGATTTTAATTTAGATTATCAAATAAGTTAATTTAGCGTAATATTAATAAAATAATATATTTTTTTTATATTTTAATATATTATTATATCTTTAGAAAAATAACAACCCAAATATTAATTTAGATTTAATTTAAATATTTAATGACAGAGATGAAAATGATATATTATTGTATATTTTTATTAAATAAATCTAATTTTAAATATTTAAACTTAATAAATATTTAAAATATATAAATAGTGTGAACAAATATGTTAAACGTTTTATCAATCTTGGTTCTTTCTGGATTAATATAAATGAACATGTTATAATGACGTTTTTTATTTGTGATATTTTTCAGATAATATGAATGGACAGACGAGTTAGAATAATATTTTTATAATCACGGTCATATATAATACTAGAAAGAATAAACCAATAGAAACAAATTATATCTAAACAAATTTTTTTTATCATTTATTAGAAAATTATATATATTTAAAAATGAAAAAAATTATATTATATAAAAAAATAATTCTCGTGCGGACGCACGGGATAGAAACTAGTTTATACTATTAAAAAGAAAAGACTTTTTATGTTCAAACATAATTTTTTTAGTTTTCTACTTTTCTGTTTTTGGATAACTACTATTTTTATTGTCAAACAAAATTTTAATTTGATTTATCTTTTTATTTATTTTAGAAAATTAATAAAATAATATATGTGAATTTTATCTTTAAAATTATTTCTGAAAATTTTTAAATTTTAATTCAATTAGTTTAAGTTTTCTTAGACATAGTTAGGATTAATTATCAAAATTACAAAAATTAGTTGTTATTATTTATATAAAAATAGTAAATAAGATATTAATTTATTTTATATTTAAATATCCAAATTTAAATAATATTTTCATAATGATAAAGATGATAAATGATATATTATTATATATTTTTCATAATCAATCATTTTAAATAGTTAAATATTTAAAATTTTAAAAAATTATTTTATATAGTAATATTAAGGGTGATTTGCATCAATATTACTTTTGAGAGAACAAATTAACTAACTACTATAAAAAAGCGGTCAATTAAGTGCATAGCACAAGTCAACAGAAAAAAGTACGTGGAAATGACATTGCACTCCTTGCTCCCTAAATCTAGACATCGCTTTATCTGACGGAGGTTGGGACCACACCAACTTATTAAGACACAGACGTTACTTGCTTTTTGAAACAATAGCAACGTAAACTTTATTGTTACTTTAGTAAGCTTTAAACGTTGTTGTCGTTTAGTATTACGTGTACAAATAGGTTAATTTGAGAGAACTCTAGTGGATCAGATAAATAGCCACTAACACAACACCCATAAACCAAACATTCAAGTTTCTGATTTTTAGCGTTATGGTTTGTATTTTCTCAAAAAATTATATATGGTGTCTTTTTGGTCAAATCATTAAAATATGAGATAACTTTATGGAATAATTAACTATTTTCATAAAAATATTTGCTCAGAGTATGCGGTTATGTAGTAGACGACTATTTAATAAAGAAGTTGCATCCGCCTCAGATGAAATAGACATTATGTACGATATTTTCTATGGTTGCACCAAGTTAAAAGTAAATAGACATATATCAAGTAGTCACCTATCACTTCAACATAGACATTTTTTTCAATTCTATTTATTTTGTTTGTTGTGTTCATATATTTATAGTAGATGACTACTAATAGGTGACTATGTTTAAAATGTAAGTGGTTGTTGTCGGTCACGATGAGTATGAAGTTTACAACATAAAAGGGGAGATGTGTACATAACAAGTTATCGGTAACTTCTTCTTACAGCATGAAAGACCATTCCACCTAGTACCAACTCATGTATGTTATGGTGTCTCAGAACTACTTCCTCCATTAATGCGCTGACCAGATGGTCGTCCAAAGCAAAATAAAGATCTCATCTTAAGGGGAAATGAAGGTAACGTACTCAACTATTTAGTGTTTGTAACATAGTCAGCTATTTTATTATTAGTCATAGTTGACTATTTAGTGGTAGAAATGTAGTTGATCTAATTCGTTTGCTGACACAGAAGAAATTTGAGGAATGCGGCAAAACTTTGCAGCAGGTGTCTTGGGAGGTGTCACAATGGTAACTCTATAGCCATAGTTGACTATTTTCATAGAAAATCATTAGCGAAGAGTATGTGGATATATAGTAGACAACTATTTTCATAAAAAATCTGCATCCCCATCAGACAAACATTCTCTCACTCCGAAAGTGTGAAACATTATGGACGATACTTTCTATAGTTGCACCAAGTTGAAAGTAAATAGACATATATCAATTAGTCATCTATCACTTCAGTATAGACGTCCCTTTTAATTCTAATTATTTTGTTTGTTGTGTTCAGATTTCTAGTAGACAATGACTAGTAGGTGACTATGTTTAAAATGAAGGTTCGTTTGAATGACACAGAGATGTTGACTAGTTTGTAACATATTTCGATTAGATAAGTAGTACTCCAAGCGATTATTAGTAGTTGTCTATTTTCTCCATACATCTCAAAGTTGATTCTAATACTTAAACGTAAGTATTAATAATTGTCTATTTCGATTAGATAGCTACTTCTAAAATTTGATTATTGGTAGTTATCCATTTTTGCTGACTCAAAGAATTCAGGGTAGCACTTCATTAAGTTGAGACGTTTAATGAAGGCAAATAGGTTGAGCGCCTTGATGAGAGATGGTTCCTTGAATGTTTGGTTTAAAACCTTACATGAACAAGCAAATGAACACATCTTCTGCAGATTCTCTAGCAACCCTTACAAACACATTAACGAGTTGCGAATCTGAAGAAGCACATTATTCGCGAACGGTGTGGGTTCACATTGTCGAAGAGAACACATATCCCTACAAAGGAAAAATGGCAAAAAGTTAGCTATTGTAAACTGATTACTGTTATAACGTAGTTAACTACCGATAATTATATTAGTAATTGGTTATATGTGCATAGTAGTTATGTAGACTAACTGAATATGGAGTAGTTATTTATTGTATATGTTATAGATGATAAGAGTAGGCAATTACTAATGACCATATTCAATGTAGTTACTACTTACTCAGTATGCATATAAAAATAGTTAACTACTCTAGATCTACAAAATAAAGAGAACCAGATATCGATAACAACGAAAAAGATGATGGAACTGTCAGACATTTACATGAACAAGCAAATGAACAAGCATCTTCGGCAGATTCCCGACCAACTCTTTCAAAAATATCAACGAGTGCATCACTAATCTGGAGAAGCACATTATTTGCAAATGGTGTGGGTTCGGATTGTCGAAGAGTACACATATCCCATGAAACGAACAAAAGTCAAATAGTTAGTTACTGTAAACTGACTACCAATGTGATGTAAATAACTATTGTTATTCATATGAGTAGTTGACTATTCCTGTCTAGTAGTAATGTAGACTAACTGAATATGTAGCTTTATATTGAATCGGTTATAGACGTTGCGAGTAGACGATTACTAGTGACGATGTATATAGTTAACTACCGAAAGAAAAATTTTAAAATCCTAGACTGCATCGCGAATCTGCGGAAGGACATCATTTGCCAGGTACCAGATCGGGATGTACTTGGGACAACATAGCCCTTCAAACACATAGCAATGAATAGTTAGCTACCGAATAAATGGTCGCCTACTAAGCTAGTTATGTAGTTCAAATGTAGTTGACTATAGGCAGTAGTCGACTACTCAGATCTGAAAGCATAGATCTGGATGACGGATGAGAATGGGAGTGGACTGGTTAAAAAATACAAAAATCATGAATCACGAGAAATTACCTATAAAAAAAACGTTTATGTGTCCAAAAAGAGAAAGAATAACGAGAGATCTAGCTGAGAAAAATAAGAATAAATAGTCAACTACTAATAGACGTCTATTATAATAAAAAGGTTACGGAATTAAAGAAGCGGGTAAATGTGCGGGTTCCCTAAATGTGCAGCATAAAACGATGGAACGAAACCTACGGGAAATAGTGGATCTACGAAAATCAGAAGGGATAACCTGGGAATTGTAGATCTAGAAAAAAAGACACAGTGGAGCACAATGACAGTAGCAACTATTCATTGACGAAGCAAAAAAAAAACGAAAAACAAAAATTGAAGTGGAAAATAACTAAATACAAGTGAAAGTCGACAGATTACCTTTCACAAATCATCATCGAAGCAAACGATTTCGGCCTCATGGTCAGCTTCGTCTGAAAATGTCACTCTGGTTCACCGGGAAGAATATCTCTGCCTCGCGGGAAAAATGTGAAACAGAGAAAGGGGAGAAATGATGAGAGAGAAAAAATGTTTGAACCGATGTTGTGAGAAGAAAAGTGTAGGTTGTGTGTTGAAATGGATCTCTAATTCAAAATTTGAAAAAAAGTAAGAAAGAGAAAATGTTGTTTGTAAGGAAAAAAAAAAGCGGAGGTATAAAGCGTCTTGATTATCGTTCAAAATATATGTTACAGTTCTGTTGTGATGAGGAAGTAAGAGGTATTTTCTCACCAATAAAAAAATGTTGTTTTATCAAGCTAATTTGCTCTTAGATTGTTGCTACCACACCTAGTTTCCCTAATATTAACAGATGAAGTAAAATTATGTTTTTAAATTCATAGTATTTTTTTGGATTAAACGAAATGGATAGGTTAAAAGTATGTTTTAATAACTGTGGTCAAATTTATTTAAAAAAAAAAAATTTATCTTAAAAAAAAAATTATATCATTTATTAAAAAAATATTATATCTATAAAAACACAAATTACATTATAAAATAATATATAAAAAAACATTTCTGTGCAGAATCTAGTTTATATTATAATTTAATAGCTGAAAAATTTTTTATAATTTTAATAATATCAATTTAATTTTTTAATATAAAAATTAATCTTATGTTTAATGGATATTGATAGATAGATATTTTGATTTATTATAAAAATTAAAAAGTAATAACATATAAATTATTTACTTGTATTTTAATATGTTAGATATATGATTTATAAAAAAAAGAACATAAACCATTTAGATACTAACATATGTTTCATGAGAGGGGTTCTCAAGAGTTCTCATTTGAGAACTGATTCTCATTTTTTTAAGAAAATTAATTTTTCTTTATTTTTAATAGCTTTTAAAGTTGAGATAATTATTGAGATACCTCCAATAAAGATGCTTTTAGACTAGGTTTATTTCATCTACTATTCCACATAAACAGAAAATCCGAAACAAAGTATGGATCGAACACCAGTTGTATTTCAGTAAGTTAAAAGTCAGGATCAACTAATAAAATGAAGGAAGAAACACCCTGAGTGTGCAAAATGCAAACTGAAAAGGAAAGGCCAAGCACGTGCTTGCCCAAAGAAGAAATTTTTTGCGCTGTGTTTTTAAGCTCAGTTTTGACATAAAAGGAAACGCAAGGAGACAAGTTTCAGGAGGTTGGTGAAGAGACAGGAGTAATGTGTGCTTGATGGAAAAGTTTTGTATTGTAGTAACTTTGATTTGGTTGTTAAAAAGATAATGATTTTAGTGGATTTTAAACATGAGATGCCGACAAGATTAAGGCTCCAAATTAGGAGTTTGGATTCGCAACAAACAAGTATTCTTTATATTTTCAACTTTCCATTTATCATATAAACAAGATACCAAACTAAACTAAACCAAACCAACATCAAACTACACCAACCAAAATAATAAAACAAAAAAGGTTCCTTTGATTTCAATTTTTCAATAAACCGAGAAAATTGAAAACCGAAAATACCGAACCATAGAAGCCGATTACAAAAAGGTTTACCACAAAATACATTACTCGTCATTTAGACAGTGCCAAGAGTACAACAAAACAAACAAAACATCCAAAAGACAGAGACAACAAAAGCGCTCTTCATCTAATAAGGATCATAGAGTCAGTCCTACGTTAGATCCTCAAGAGGCAGCCCTTGGAGAATATCTTCTTACAATATGGATTCGTCCTAAGGTTTTGAAATCTTTGTACCTTCTCAACCAAACTCGCCCGAACATTGCCCTGATCAAATCCATTCAGTTCTATTACTAAATATGTATTTGAGTATGTTAAGAAATATGATCACATGCAATACTAACTAACCTTGGTTTTAGATAGAGCGGACTGGATCACGTAATTAGCAAAAGGATCAAGAAGAAGTTCTTCGAAGTTTGGAACAGAGATGAGCTCACGCACGATCTGAGATCTGCTCTCTGGATAATGTACAAGACATTTCTCCACTACATGACTGCTACACTTCTGTCTAGCCAAATTCACATAATTGCCTCTCAGTTCAAACATCACACTCTCTCCTCCCAGCTTCTGCTCTATCATGTATTGCACCACATAATTCCTGCCACCAAAATTTCACACACATAAGCAAGCTTCAAAGTTGAAGATGTGAGCATCATTCACAAAAAATGCATTGTCCTTGTATAAGTTTCTTTTCATAAATATTAGTATTGCTACCCAAAAGGGTCTTGTGCAAGGTGGAGAGAGTTTCTTGATATTTCAGCAACGAGGTTCTCACGTTGCTCCCCGGCCGAGTATTTAATGCAGTCTTGCATCACAAGACATCCATAGTTATGAGTCGCAATCTTAGTACAGAACCTTATAGCATCCTCCAAAACAAACTGCATGCACAGAAAAAAATACATAATTATCATGCATACATTAAGTAGATTTTCAAGAACATGAAAGGGAAGTGATTATGTTTGAAACCTTGTTATCATCAGGGCCAAAGGACTTCAAACAACTTTGAACAACATGCTTTCCGTGCAAATCTCTGACCAAAGAGAGCAAACCCGGTTCAAGAGCTGACTTAACCAGATTGATTTGTGTCTTTGTACTCACTGTCTCAATCAGCTTTTGCACAACCCTTGTCCTGCTCAATTTAAAACATCAAGCAAAAGGTCTCAGCTTTTATCAGAATATATCACAGTCGAAGATTTCCAAAACACATGAATCATCAAGTCAAAGTCTTGACTGCTCAACCATGAGCTTGATATATGTTTTATCAAAGGTCTCTGCTTTGTCTAAAATCACTAAAAACAATTCATCTTTTCAGCCATGAAGAGTAAACAATTATTCAAAAGATCTCAACCTTTTTTTTTTCCTTTCCATAAGCATCATAGGTTTCATCTTTCACGTAAATCAAGAAAAATCCACAAAGATGTAAACAAAGCTTCATCTCTACACGACTACTCGTCTAATTTTTTTTTTTCTTTTTTTTTAAATTTTCAGGTAATTTTTTTTAATTCAAATACTCTGATATATTAAATGCTAAATGCTTTTATACTCCAATTAATTTTTAATGGAATACATACTATGTTCCTGTTAAGCTATATGTAGTAAGTATTAATTAATATGACAAGCTCTTAAACAGGGTTTGAAAGTAAAAGCTTACCCATAATAGTTGAGTGAGATTTTGACAAGCAATCCAGGTTCTGCGGTCAACATTATGAGGATTTGTGTTCTTTGTTCTTCGTTGCAGACTTCAAGAAGCTTCTGCATGAAATAATTTCCAAACTGATCGGTTCCAATTTCGATTACATGATTAATGACTTCGTTGAATATAATCATCGAATCAAGCAAGCTTCCTCCTTCGAGTAATTTCTGTAAAATCCTACAACCCATTTGATCTTTTGCCATTAAGTACACAGAGCCGTACATTCCAACCATGGAGGCAAGATTTAGTGGGAAATCTTGTTCATTACCACTGAAAGCTTCCTTAAACAGATTGTTGTTCTTCGTACATGCGAGCTCTTGAGAACCTCTCATGGCTGAAAATGGTGGGAAATCATTATTTCCACGGCATTTCAACGAAGCGTTGAATCTTCGAGGAAGGTGCTCTCTGTTTTGACTAGTGCTAGGATAGTCTTGCACGCTAAGCAATTGAGACCTGTGAAAGTCACCATCACCAACATAACTACCCATAGACATTTCGCCATGAGAGCTGTGTAGTAAACCTTCACGACGAGAAGAAACCTCTAGAAACGGATTCGGGTCGAGCCAGGAACATAGATTCCTCGAGCCAGAAAAACCCAGAAACGGAGAAGATCCGGAGAGAATAGCCCTTTGTTCATCGGAGATACTCATTCTACTGAGGTTCTGACACAAACCCAGATCAAAATCCGCCACAGAAGCTGTCGTATTCAGCTTTAGAAGGTTTCTATGAAGCTGTTGGTGCACAAATGGAGATTTACGGTCACCGGAAAATTGAAATCTGTGGGAGAAAGAAGCTGTAGGAAACTCTCCGAAACCAGAATCAGTGAAGTGCGAAGCTCGTCGTTCTCTCAAATCACCAGCAAAAAACCTTGAGTCCATAATCTACTTCTCTTCAGACATCAGAAAGTCAAATTTGATTTTAGTGACCGGCGCGACTGAAAGAGAACACAGGACACAGAGGAAGAAAAAGAAGAAACAAGAGAGAAAGAATTTTTTTCCCTGGAATTGTCTTGGTCATTAAATGTTTTTTCTTTTGGGGATTTTGAAGATTTCATAACAGAAGGAAATGAGTTTGAGAAGAACAGAAAACTGTCTTCTTGTCATGAGGTTTACAGTGACGGCTACTACAGCTGCAGAGAAGAAAAAGTGGGATAGAGAGAGACAAAAAGAATAAAGAAATGGTCATTAAGATTTTTTCTGTTTTTTTGTCAACAATTTGGGGGATTAGTTTTTTTTTCGACACTTTTGTGTGTTCTGCGTAAGTTACTCAATTTTTTTACTACATATTTCGTAGTTGTAGTTAAAATTATGTTGACCAAACAAGTAAAATTGCATAGAAAACATATATAGTCGTTTTCTTCTATCCAGCTATTACATCACATATAGTCATAATTGTAGTTTAATTTTTTGTTTTGTTTTTCTTTCTTTCTCTTTTTGTTGAAATGACTAATCTGACATTGCATTTTACTTTTCCAACTATTACATTACATATAGTCAGAATTGTAGTTTAATTCATCTTTCTATTTTTTTTCTCTTTCTTTTTGTTGTTAATGTAAAATGACTAATCTGACATTGCATTTTACTTTTCCAATGTCAAACTAATCATTTCATTTTATAAAAAGAAGAGAAAAAATTATAAAGTGAAATGATTAATCTAATATTATATTTAATATTGTTTTTATCTTTAAATGAATTTTTTTTTTAGTTTTCACACATCTTAAGATCAATTTTTTGGTATACAGATACTAATGTGATCTCTGGAAGTTTCTAATAAAATATTTTACAGAAAAATGTGAAGAGTGAAAACTGAAAAAAAAAAAGAATTAAAAGAGGGAGATTTCTACTATATTTTCTTTATTATTGAATATCTGTGTTATTCAGAGATTTCAGATTATACATATGAAAATAGGTTTGAGTTCAAAGAAAGACTGTCTCTTCTATGTTGTCGTCAGGTCTAGACTTTAGAGTGAGGTTCTTCCTTTCTGTAGCTGCAGAGAAAAATAACTGCAAGATAGAGAGAGACAAAAAGAATGAACTGATTTATTATCTTGGAAAAATTGATGTAATTTGTGTTATTGCAGTCTGTATTCAAAGCATCAAGTAATATAAAATTTATTTATATATATTATATATGTTTTCTTTCTAGTTTAAATTTACGATGAAACATGAAAGAAATAGAATGAAGAGAAAATTGATATAAAGTTGCGTTTAATTTCAGTTTCTTTCCTTTTTATTAAAATAAAATGACTAACATTTTATTTTAAATAAAAATGATTAATATGATATTGTATTTACATTCTTTATTATCAATCAATAAATGTATTTAGAATTTTGACAAATATCAAAATAAATTAGTACAGTAATTGGTTATAATTTTAGAAAACAAATTTCAATAAATTTAAACAACTAGTAATAAATTAAATAATTTTTAGGGAGAGTTTCAGATTTAACTCATATTTCAAAGTCAAACACCAAACTAACCTCTTTTTTTTCTCTCTCCAACTTTTGTCATTTTCTCACAATTTTATCTTTCCCACTTAAACTATTAACGAAAATGCCATTATACATCTAATAATTCGATTTTTCTTTAATTGGCTAAAGTCTTCTTGGACCTTCTAAAACTTTTTAATTACGAGAATGCCATTGTCTTCAATACCTTCAACCACCATGAACAACCATGAAAATGGAGTAAATGCTTATCAACCAATTTTAAAGCTGTAATAAAACAAATTTCTGAGCTCATTCACTCATAACCTTGCTCATTCTACCATAATTCTTCTCCAAAACATCTGGGCACAATTACAATGCTTCGCGCCATGCTTTTTCGGTGAATTCTGGTTACTCGACATCTGAGTTGTTTAATTTCGGTGAAATCCTAAGTTATGGGTGGATAAGAGAAACTTAGGGAGTTCAATTTTATTAAAGGTAATCCTCGCACTTCAATTTCTCCACATTTCAGTTTTTATATCGCGAAAGTAGACTTCTCGTGAACTATACTGAAGTCGATGAGTCAACATAAAGTTATTTTTGCAATTGACTTTTAAAAAGTAGATTTCATTAAACCTCACGAGAAGTCTACTCGATATCCTTTGAAAACAAAAAAAAACATAGTAGAATTCATTTGAAAGCTTAAGAAGTCTACGAAAAAAAGAGGCTATTTTTGTAGTTGACCGTATTTTGACTTTTGAATTTAGACTTCCGTCTGAAGTCTACTGTTTACGTCTGCATACGAAGTCTACTTTCAAGTTACTTTTGTAGTTTGACCAAAAACGTATAGGTCATTTTTGTGTTTGACTTCTGTTTTTCAAAAATTAAGAAATTTAAAAAATTCCAAAAAGCTTCAGTAGACTTCACAAAGAAGTCTACAGTTGGTAGACTTCTTTGTGAAGTATACTTATTGTGTTCGGTCAAACTTATAAGGAATATTTTTTGGGTTTAATTTTGGTTTAAATTTCCGTTAGGTTAATTTATTCGGTTTAGTAGACTTCTATATTGAAGTCTACAACTTCTAAAACCTAAATAATAAATTTACTTCTACTTAATTTAGTTAGAGTATTATGGGGTGCTCTAGCCGGACTGTCCCCGGTATCATACTGCAACACTCTGGATTCCTTCTAAGGATAGAACGAATCGAGGGTGTTACAGAAGTTCCCTTAGATCTATAACCATATAGACCTAATGAATAACTAGAACAAGATCTAAACAGAAAAAGGTTTACTCTACGGCTTACCGACCGTCCGCTGAGCCAGCACCGCGCTACCATTCCCCGCTAGCTAACTCCTACCCGAAATACTCACCATCACCAAATCTGTATTTATGATGGTAAATTTGATACCAAAATAATTTTTTTAAAATTTTAAAATTAAATTTACAGATTTAATTACTTAGTAGACTTCATTTCGATAAAATGAAGTCTACTAGTAGACTTCATTTTCACTTTAGTAGACTTCGTCAGGGAGTAAACGGTAATTAGGACATCCGTTTTTTGTTTATTCATACAGGATTAAATAGTCTTTTCACTATCCCTTTAGGTTATTTCTGCCAAATGTTTTTTCAGGGGTCTACTTTTGTATTCAAAGTCAAGTTTTGGGTTATTTTTAGCAAAAACCCCTAATTTTTAAGTGTAATTATAGTAGATAATCTTGTGACTGTTCATAATTTGCGAAATAGAAAAATACACTATTCCACTCCTGTACACTTTTCAATATAACACTCTTACTCCTGATAATTTTCTCTCACATCTTCTTTTTCTTCTTATTTTATTTCTTTCATTCATCTTTCTCTCTCCTCACAAATGATCAATTTTTCACAAATCTTCAATTTTTCTCTCAAATCACCAGCAAAAAACCTTAAATCCATAATCTTCTTCTCTTCAGACATCAGAAAGTCAAATTTCTGTTATACAGACAAGAATGTGACCTGTGGAAATTTCTGAGAAGAGATTTTAGTGACCGGCGCGACTGAGAGAGAACACAGCATAGAAGAAAAAGAAAAACTAGAGAGAGAATTTTTTTTTTTCTGTAATTGTCTTGGTCATGAAATGTTTTTTCTTTTTGGGGATTTTGGAGATTTCATAACATAAGGAAATGGGTTTGAGAAGAACATAAAACTGTCTTCTTGTCATGAGGTTTACAGTGACGGCTACTGGCTGACTACAGTTGCAGAGAAGAAAAAGTGGGAGAGAAAGAGAGACAAAGAGAATAAAGAAATGGTTATTAAGTTTTTTTCTGTTTTTTTGTCAACAATTTGTGGGATTCTGTTTTTTTGTTTTTGTCGACATTTGAGGTCAAAACTGTAAAGTCGGATTTGTGGCGACTCATACTAAGTTGCCATTAAGCTGAACATGGTTGTTCGTGGTATCTACATGCTGTAAGAATGAATGATTCTACTTATTTCAGTATCAGAGTGTATATGAATATCCATACATGCTCTCGGGTTGTCGCGAGCACAATTCAGAATAAAAGGAAAGGCACACCACAAGTAGTAGCAGATGTCTTGTTTGGTTCCTATCCAGGTGAAGTAGACACCCATGTGCCTAAATCTTTGATCAAAGTTGTTCAAAATGAAGCTCATGTGAGTGTGTCATATTCTACTGCCTTGAGAGGGAAAAAATAGCTGTTAGTGAAGTGAGGGGCAGTCCTGAAGAAAGTTGTCAAAAATTATATTGTTATCTTTACATGTTGCAGATTGTTAATCCTGGGACAGTAACAAGTGCGAAAGTGGATGCCAGAAATAAGTTCAAGTATCTCTTTCGCTTTGGGTGCTAGTATTGAAGGCTTTAGAGCAATGAGAAAAGTCATAGTTATGGATACAACTTTTATTAAGAGTGTTTATGGTGGTATGCTAGTATTTGCCACAGCTCAGGATCTGAATCATCACGTTTACCCTATCGTAATGGGTGTAATTGATAGGGAGAAAGATGCTACTTGAAAATATTTTTTGAAACACTGAAAACTATTATACCCAATGATCATGAACTGGTTTTTATGAGTGACAGACATAGGAGCATCATTAAGGTAGTCCAGGAGATGTACCCTCAGTCTCAGCATGGATATTGTGTTTGGCATTTGTCACAGAACGTGAGAAAGAAAACTAGGAATGGCTGTAAAGATTTGTGTTCAGACAAATACAGAGAATGTGTTCACAATACACAGAAGGTGAGTTCGTAAATGCATACACTGATTTTAGGAGGTGGTTTCCAAAAGCAGCTGAGTATTTAGATGATGGTGTTCTGCTTGAAAAATAGGCAATGTGCTACTTTAAAGGAGACAAGTACAACTTGGACACAAGCAATGCTTGTGAATCTATAAACATTGTCTTCAAGAAGGCAAGAAAGTAAGCCTTATTACCTTTGATTGATGTGTATATTGAAAAAGTTTTTGAATGGTTCAACAAGCATAGGAAAGACACTGCATATGCATCAAACACAAAGAAATTGGTGCATGTTGAGAACCAGCTGCATAGTCTTTGTGCAATTGGAACAAGCTTATTTTTCACTAAG